TCTCCTCATTCTCAAATTCTCCCGGAGGACGGTTACGTCAAAGAACTCGCTTGATCGCGCCCTTCTTTTGCAAAAGTACGGCCATCCGTTTGAGATATCGCTGTACGAGTGATGTTTTGGAGTTCGTAGCGTCGCGTTCAACACTTCTGCAGCCTTACTTTGCGAAATCCAAATTTTGGTTCAGTATCCCTTTAAAGGAAGTAAGTGAAGCGTTACAAAAATTCAGTAAAATGTAATCGATTACAAGTAATCCATTACTTGTAGCGCGTTACTTAAGTCTGATTGAGATTTCTCGCCAACCGCACCGGGTTGGCGTGGTTGATCGCCGACATCGTCTAAATTTCCGGACGATGTTTGCGATGTCAGGAGCTAAACGTCGTGAAAAAAACATTGCAAAATAGTAGGATGGCGGCTCATGTGATAAGACAGAACCAGCTTCTTGCACTCCTGATGAAATCACTTGATCAATTTATCATGTATGACGCATGCCTCCGTGCCGCCTCTCACCAGCACGCGCGCGTCGAGCAATTAGCCGCTTAAAGGGACACTGACACCCCCCAAATTTTTTTTTAAATTTTTTGCCAGGCGCTTCATTATGGTGTCGGAGGTCTACCCAATTAATATTTTGCAACAGAGTAGCGTATTTTTTTAATAAAGTCAAAAGGCGCAACTGCTCGAAACCGAAACCCGACGGAGGTCGGAGAAGTGGAGAGAAGAGAGTGAGTGGCGGAAGTCACGTGGCTACACCCGACCGTGTTTTTTTTTTTTTTCTCCTTCCCGGTAGCAGACGACATGTGGTGTTTGGGAACTGCTCGCCGGAAGATTCTTTTGCAGTTATGAATGTTCCGCTCGTTGTTCTCTACTCCAAGATGAGTTGTTTTGTACATTGAGGAGTTGGAGATGAGTAGTGAGTGCCCGTGGTGAATTTCGATCGGCTCCGAAAAGAATACACCCAAGATGTTGCGTGAAAAGCTGGCTCACATGTCCCGCGTCCGAAACAGAAGTGGCATTGTGAGACAGAGTTTCCGAAAGATCAACGGGATCGGGACCAATGGCTGGCTGCAATTCCTGTAAACCATTTACGGGCACCTCGGAAAGCGGACGCTACCTGATTTATATGCTCCTTGTATTTTGTGGAAAGTGATTACATTGAGTTCGCAGGTGTCAAAAAGGATATCCCATACCATCTAATTCAGCGACGTGTCGTCCACAACATTTGTTTCTTATTTTTTTTTTGTTTCTTCAGTAATAATTGTAAAAAAAAAAAAGAAAAGAAATGTAGACATCAAAAAATATTTAGAAAAAAAAAAAAAGTTTCACGGGGGATCGAACCCGGCTCTACCGGGTGCGAAGGGGACGTCTTTCCCACTGAGCTACTGAAGCATTTTTTTTTTTTTTTTTTTTATTACATGGTATTTGGTCAGAAAACACAAGGCACTTGAAATCACGGTACACCAAGGTTGGCGTTAGGTGTCATGTACAGGCGTCGACATACATTTCGTTCATCTAAATTCACACCATCGTGGGGGTTTAGTTCCCCTCATAGGTTCGAGTGCGGTTTCACAACTCAACAAAGTATTCTGTATTGAATAATACGTCTAAAAATCCGGAAGATGAATGCATCGATTTAAGAGAGCATACCAGTCTGGGCGTTCACCGAGATGGTCAAATACATTTCGTACATGTGATACAGTTTCTATAAAATTCGACTTTGTTGTCCGGGGAGCATCAGCATTTCTGTCAATCATTCTCGTTTTCCAGAGACTATGCAAACCCATCAGTGTAAACAGATCATAAGGGAAGCTGTCATTCGGGTTTAAAGGTAGAAAACGGATTGTGTAGGCACTTATATTTAAATCTTTTTTCACAGTTCTTTGTAACACATCCCAGAATAGGTAAGCATCAGTGCAGAAAATAAAACAATGTTCTATAGTTTCCGGTTGGTTACAAAGGCGGCAGTTCACTGACCACGGAACGAAAATGCCTTTTTCTTGAAGCCAAGGCTTAACAGGTAGCGTGGAAGTGTGAAGTTTAAAGAAAAAGGTTTTTGCAGAAGGTGACACTCGCATTTTCTTCACACGTTTAAAAACATCTTGTTCCGAACCGTTACCAAATACGCTTCGATACAAAGGTACAGGAAAAACAACGTCTATCAGATCAGCATAAATTGTTTTTCGGGGAACTTTAAATAAATACTCCAGAGAAAACCGGGTTTTCAAAAATTCAATCGCGCTAACTACCTCTCCAAGGAAACCGAAAGGACGCAATGTGCCTACAGGCACAGATGAGACTACCAAGTATGGTAAAGCTTCTGAAAGTTCTGTCTGCACGTAAGTGCGCAGGAAATGATGGGATACAGTTCGGAAGAACATAAAACGAACAACCACCTGTTTTAAAAATAGATGAATCAGCCCAAGTCCCCCTGTATCAATGGAGCGAAAAAGGTTGTCTCGTTGCATGGGTTCCCAAGTGGAATCCCAGACAAAAGTCGCAAAAACTCTATGGAATTTTTTTAAATTGGCCTCTCGCACAGCAAATCACCTGGAGCACGTACCAGAGTTTCGCTACAAGGAAAATGTTACATGCTTTTGCGCGTCCAAAGATTGACCACCGATTTGATTTCATTAAATTGGCTTGACGTTTGATCTTTGCCGCACGCTCAGACCAGTAATGGCCACTGTTTCGAATGCAGTTCAACGGTACTCCTAAATACTGAGGAGCTACACAGCTCCACGAAATACCAGCATACTTCGAAGGTGTTGTGGCCCACTGGCCGCACCAGAAGCCAACGCATTTTGAGTTATTTACCAACGCTCCCGATGCTTCACAAAATGTCTGGGTTAAGGTAAAGACATTATCGACACTTTTCTTATCAGCGCAGAAAAACGCTATATCGTCAGCATAGGCTAACACTTTTACTTCCGCGGAATAAAAATGATAACCGTCCACTGTAGGGTTGGAAAGTACGCTCAAACAAAGAGGTTCCAAGTAAAGAGCAAACAAAAGAGGGGATAAGGGACACCCTTGTTTAACAGACGATTCTAAATTTATAGGAGTCGAGAGTGAACCATTAACAATGAGACGGGTAGCACAGCTTCGGTAGAATAGTTCGATTCCTTTCAACAACGTTGGTCCTGGGTTTATGTGTCTAAGAATGGCGAAAAGGAAGTTATGAGATACGCGGTCAAAGGCTTTCGCCAAGTCTACTTGGACTATGGCGACCTGGTTGTTATGCCGAGTACAGCTCTCTATGACCGAACGTGCGACGTGTATATTGGTCTGTATGCTTCGCCCCCTAATTCCACATGTCTGATGGTCGCCAACAACACTAGAAGCGACGAACTGAAGCCGTTTTGTCAGAATCTTAGCGAATATCTTATAGTCCACATTGCAGAGAGTAATAGGGCGATATCCTTCTACGTGTATAAGTTTATCTGCATCCTTACTTTTGGGGATTAATACTGTATGGCTGCTATAAAAAGATGGTGGTAAGCGTTCACTATCGTAAGCTTCAAGAAATACTTTGTGTAAGAAAGGGCACAGTAGTTCCTTATGCTCCTTGTAAAACTCAGCTGGGAGTCCATCCGGTCCTGGCGTTTTAGAGTTAGGCAACTCATCTATCGCACTCTGAATGTCCTCCAGCGTTACTGGTCCACTGAGTAGTTCGCGTTGAATCTCACTTACTTTAGGCAACATGGAAACTAAAGTGTCTGTCATTTGACTGTTGGAAGATGGCGTTTTCTGGAATAGGTTTTTGTAGTGGGATTCGAATGTGCGCATTATATCAACATCGTTGGTTGAGAGGGTTCCGTTGCAGTCCAAAAGTTTGATTTTTTTGGAAAGCCCATGGCGTCTTTCATCATCAATGGCACGCCGCGAGGGTGTCTCAGATGACAAGAAACGCTTACACCTAGAACGTACCAGTGCACCATTATAGCGATTTTGCTCATAGCGCTGCAGCTGACTTTTGATAAGAATGATTTCTTCCTGAAACTCACCAGATTTTTCACATTCCAATTCGTGAAGGCTATTTAGGTTTCGCAAAAGGGCAGTTTCGTCTTTCTTTGCGTGAAAAGACGCAATACAAGCAAATTCAATCGCTTCATTTTTGACCTCTTGTTTAAATGAGTCCCATTGGGCGAAAATGCCGAATTTTTCATTCGTTGACATATTGTTAAAACATTCACGAACACGTTTTTGAAAATCATCAGTGCCAAGAAGCCTTGTGTTCAATTTCCATAATTCCCATTTTGGACGTGACTTATGACGTACGTCTGCCCCAATACGAACCTTTACAAGGCAATGATCAGAAAAGGACATGGGTTTTACTTCATAAGTAGCCACATGCGAAAAAAGTTGGCTTGAAACGTAAACTCGGTCAAGCCTCGCGTTACATGAAGCATCAATGTGTGTGAATCGACTAGCAGTAACCTGAGAAGCACCGACATCAAATAGGTGGAAGTCGTATGTGAGGTTGTTTAGTATGTCAGCACTGCTGTCAGGTCTTGTAGGAGGCACTGATCTATCACTGATATTACAGACACAATTGAAATCACCAAACAGAACAACTTGCCTGTCGGTGTCAAGAAAAGGGGTGAGATTTTCAAAAAACAAACGTCTTTGTCGAACATCATTGTAGGCATAAATGCAAATTAAACGCCAGGAGATACCATTTAAGAAAAAATCACAGCATATAAACCTGCCCTTATCATCCACAGCATGTGAAAATGACGAGTATTCTAGTCTCTTCTTTAAGAATAAAAGGCACCCTCCCGACAAGCCATCCGCGTGGCTCACACATACCTCATAACTTGAGAGGAAAGGGTCCAATGCACGAGCTGTGTCCTCGTCGGACGATATCTTTGTCTCCTGGACGGCAACAAAGTCAATCTGTTCCTTTGAGAGGACCCTATACAGTTGGGACTGACGTGCACGCGAACACAGTCCTCTGACGTTGATGGTTGCGAAGCTCAGGGGAGGAAATGCCAGGGAGGTGTTAGCTAAGGGGGTAGTTCATCACCGTCCTTCACTACGTCAGCAGGCCGTGTGGCCTTACTGTAATGGTTCTCACACACCTCAGCTGGCCTGCGTTTTGCGTCGCCTCTCTCGTCGCTGTTGTGGCCGATCGCGACATCCGTGGTAGACGACTGAGACGATTTTTCCGATGTTGGGGCGGGTCGTTTGACAGATGTTCCACTGGACGTGGTCGAGCGCTCTCGTCGATGTAATGAAAACTGTGAAGCATCCGTTGACGTCGTACTTAAAGGAGGGAATTCGCTGTCTTGCAAAAGCGATTCAGGCTTTTCAGATTCAGTGGTGATCGTCGCCGACTCAGGGTTGACGTCAGGTGGTGGGTGCAGTGGGGCCGTCAGCTGTACCCCTGAAGTGGTGCTGGAAGGGGTGACTTCTCCTGTTGCATCGACCACTTCGCTTATGTCCATTAGGTGTTCTAAAACGACATCTTCAGCTGGGCTTCTTGCTTGTCGGAGCTTGTCCGCATAGGTGGTGACGCACTCACTTGTTGCATGACCATAACGTCGGCATTCACCGCATCTTGGGGTCCTACACTCGCGACGAATGTGACCGATTCGGTAGCATCGTAGACACAGTGGAGGGCGGCCAGGCACGAGCACCAAGCTTCGACAGCCGAACACTGTGAGCTGGTGCGGTATCTGGCTCGCGTTCATTCCCTCGTGAAGGGTCAACGTCACTTCTTTGTTTAGCGTCTCCATCTGCTCCATTCCGGCGCAGCGCCATTTTTCTCTAACAATCGAACGGACCGTGCCAAAAGGCGCCAGTGCTTCTTCGATACGCTGGTTGTCCATGTGAACTGGTAGCCAAAGAAGTTTCAGTTTGACGTCTCTGGTGTCCGGGTCGATGATTAGGCATCGGCGCCCCTTTACGCGGAGCTCTGCTTTGGTCACAAGTTTGGCCTTGGCCAAAGCGCTTGCACAGGTCACCATCCAGACGTGACTCATCTGGAATTGGCCGATTCCGATGATATCCTGGCTGTCAACCACGTCCCGCAAAGCGTCTCGGAAGTCTGTTGCTCGGTATGGCCGCGCGGCGAGATCTCCGTGTAGAAAGACAGAATTAAGACTCAAATTACCTGTCGGTAGACGGGGAAGTACGGTCCGGTACTCTTCGGTCGTCATTTCGGTGGTACTGGCCGAAGCCTCAGCAGTTCCCCGGCCTGTGGCCGGTGCGTTTTCACTGGAGAGCATTGAAAACACGACCGTTTCGAACGGCGTCTTCTTCTTTCTCCAGCTACTGGGGCATACCGAAAGAGGGGTATCTTTTTCCTTAGTAATAATTCAGCCGATAAACTGTAAGTTGGAAAGTTTGCTGCCGATTTTCCTCTAGCAAAAGCACTCCCGGGTCGAAGTCGGGATGCACCACGCATTGGCGACATTCTCACCTAGTAAAGAAATCGTACGCGTGCATATTCTACTCGAAGTAGACACGTCGCGCTTGACGTTTGCGCGAGCGATGTCTTCAGCCACAAGAAGGGAGCGACGGCTCGGCGACGTCTTCGTGCAAATCGGCTTGGTGGTCGGGCGTGTCGTACGGGATGAATACCAATTCTTTTGACCAGTCCCAAATTTCTCTTTTAAAGGCAGACAAAATTCGCCGGTACCGCGAACGACAGTTCTGAAATAGAGGTCCCACGCCCGTCGTCCGCTGCCATCGCCGTCCCTGCGAGTCCCACGATACGCGAAACGACGCACGCACAGAATGCTTCCGGTTGTCTGTGGAACGTTTTTTTTTTTTCAATCAACGTATTTGCAGCTTTTTAGAAGCCACAAAAAATGGATTTCATATCTTTTTCTGTTTTTAATATTGAGTGTGTGCTTTCAGTGACCCACGACTTTGATTAAATTTGGTGGTCGCATCGATACCTTAGAAAACGGCCCGTGACCGCGGAAAAGAGAGTGAGCGAGACTCGAACCGGCCAGTTCTTGATCGGCGGTTTTCGGGCGGAAAGAAACCGAATTTCGAGCCGCAAATTCTGTTCTGGGTAGTTGAGCTCTCATATGACACGTACAACTAAAAACCTCGGCGAGCATAAATACCCTGTCAGTGTCCCTTTAACATCGGAGTGCTAGGAGCAGCGGCTGACACGGGTTAGCGCGATAGGCTCAGAAATCATGCTCAGTACTATAACGGGCCTAGCTTCATTGGTGTTCATTGTAGGTTGATTACTCATTTGAAAAAGCTGCGCCGAGAAAGATCAAAACCCAGACCACATTTGATTAAATATGGTGGTCAAGGTAGCTCCGTGCAGCTGTCGATCGAAAGAGGGGCGAACTATGACTACACTCTGGTTCCAACGCTGCTAAAGAAAGTGCTGGTTTTCACATTTGGGGCTGGTTGTTTTTGCAGTTTATAATATTAGCGTTTGGTCGGTCCATAAAATTTGGGGATGCATTTTTATTGATAGACATATGTGTTGGTTTTTGCTGGCAATTTACAGAAATTATATTTAAAGGCTAAATAAACAATCGGGTGTAAAAGTGGGAGGGCAGAGAAGCTTTATCCCAAGTGAAGTGTAGCGCTATGATTCACTTTTCATCCATTATTTTAGTACCTATTGTACATGGACATTACTTTCACGCCGTAGTTGGAAAAACAAGGCGCTGTGTTCCTTTTGCGCACTATCTATCCTTATTACAAAAGTTAAGTAATATGCTCCAGTCTTAAAGAGGGACCCTCAATCATTATCGAAGATGAACTCATTTAGCGATGCAATCACTTTTTTTAATTTTCAAATGATGCGCTAGCATCTGCTCCAAAAGCGTCCAGTGACTGCTCCAAACCAATATTTCGCCTGCTACAAAAGGTCAAATGCTGCCACTTCCATCACCGCAGTTTTGGAGCGTCACTGCAAATACCGCGATTGCTTGTTCTCCACATCAGAGAAGGCTCACTGCACTGCTTTTATCATTCTTTTTTTTTTCTTATCATCTCCAATATGTTGCTTTTAATTGATTTCGGTTAAGATCGTGATGCGATTGCTGCGCCATTTGCGCCAAACCACTTACCCTGCTACATCCTGCTACATTTTGTCAAAATGTGAGGCATTTGCGCCGCGCGTGCCAGTCATTGTGGCTCCCATTCCCCGACATATGCATCCCACTCGGCCCGCGGCAACCATCGCTCGCACTCCCTCCGACGCGCGTATCCTCTAGGCTGCAGTATGCCGTTCGTGACCTCTTTAGGTTTCCGGACGCCAGCCCGCACAATGCGGGGGATCACGGCTGTTGTGAACTCCGATCCAAGGCTGGTCCACGCGGCCACGGAGCGCCGTCTCACCGACGTGCCCCTCCTGGAGGAGCGTGCGGTCGCCAGGGCAACCACCCCCACCCCACTCACATTTTCGCTTTCCTTTATAATACCCTGCAACCCTCCACTGCGTCCCTACTCGACCCTAGAGCACTATATAGCTCCTACGGAGCAGAGTAGCGCAATCCTTTGAACTCCGTGTTTTGCCGACAACATGGCCGACAGAGCGGCTCGGCGCGAGTCACGTGGTGCTCAGGGTTCCAGGAGGCGGCCCGCCCTATGGGAGAATACATGGAGATCGACACAACACGGCTGATTAAAAAATGAACGGCGAGTTCACACTTTTCAAAACTAGTCTGTCGTGAAGTTAGTAAAGCACTAAACCATTTATCAAAGTTTTAATAATATCGGATGCGTGTGCAAATTTTGAGAAGGCAATTTCCAAGGCAATGGCGTTTGAAGCAGACGATTTTTGCTCGCAGCGGAGATGGGCTTTTCGGGTTGGCCGGAGCGGGTCACGTGAATGGTGTGACGTCGCCGTGTCGTCTGCTGCATGATGCCGCTCAGGCAATTTTTTAAAAAAAGTCACGTCCTTGCGGGGCACAAAACTTAGCACAAATTATTCTAAAATGTTCCATTATTATGTGAAAAATAATTGCCATTCCGTGCAACCCCACAATACTGAAGAAACAGCGATTTTCTCACGTTCTCCATGCATTTCTGACCACAGTTGGAACCTTCGGGCGTTCGCCGCTAGTCGCCGAGAGGCGGCGTTCTAGATTGCGCTACTCTGCTCCGAAGGAGCTATATAGTGCTCTACTCGACCCCTTCCTTTCCTCCACCTCCCACACTTTCCGGTTGGTCTGGGTGCTTGGGCACACAGCCGTCCCCGGTAACGAGCGCGCTCATGCGCTCGCCCGAGAACTCTCACTGCGGGCACCTGGGGAAGACTCGCCCACCATCCGTCCGACCAGCCCCTTTCTCAAACTCACCTTGCTGAGCCACGCCTCGCTCGGCAAAATTATCCTCAGCCTTCTTTCAAACCAATACTTTCCCGACGCGCCTCTTCTACTCTTTTTCCCACCCTTCTCCACATGGGTTGGCAATGTCATCCCATCCATCTCGCCTCTCCCCCCCCCCCCCCCCCCCCCCCCCCCATCTCCTGACCGATGACACGGCCACTGGCAAGAAATGGCTGGCGGACCGTGCCAGGCGGTGGCCGCCCCGTATTGGACCTGGGAGCTCCACCCGGGGGCACCGGAACCGCGATCCCTATAATAAACTTTTTAAAGGTCAACCCCGGCAAAAACTCAAAATGAAATAAATTATTGGTATCGCTGTAGTGACACAAAATACAACCCCAGCCACAGGGCCGTAACCAGGGGGGGGGGGGGGGGGGGGGGGGGTTAGAAGGTTCTGACCCCCCCCCCCCCCCGAAATTTTTTTCTGGGTACGGCCCTGGTCGGTGCACTTGCAGCCAGCCGATTTTAATCTCCACCTCTGCGCACGCGCAGTGGCACCGGTCGGCTACCGGGTACCAAACCGGAACCGGTTCTCCGGTTTGCTATAACTCTCCATTACATGCCACCGATGCACATGATTCATAGGCGAAAATAAGACAAAATGGCCGCCGTTGTCCCCGAAATGTTTTTCTGGGTACGGCCCTGCCCAGCCAAAAGATTACGTCCGTGGAACGCTACAATCTCAACTAGTCCCGATAATAAAAATGCGACCCGCCGCGAGCAGCTGCTCCGTAGCGGGCGGCCAGCGGGTTGCCGATCGCTAAAGCAACATTGGGCCGTGACGTCAGTATCGTTCTCTTTTTTTTCCTCCGGTCCGGGCGTCGCGCGGAGTGCTCTTGTTTGAACCGGGCTTGTGATTGGCGTGTTTAGCCGTTGCTTTTATTTGTAGCTCATATAGCTTCAGATTAGCCTTTTGTTTATTTGCTTGTGAGGACTCCAAGACTCGTTTTAGCGAGCAACTCGGTGCGCCCAAGACTGCCCAGCTGTCCCTCGAAAGATGCCGAGTACAACTTGTAGCGCTGTGGGCTGCTCAAACAACCCGCTGCACAACCCGGAGGTGCTCTTTCACAAGTTTCCTATGGACCTGAAATTGGAAAAGGTGTGGGTGAACGCTGTTCGACGAGTGGACTTTGGATTTCGGCTTTTACGGGCCCGAGGAAAAAAGAACGAAAAAACAGACGTGTACAGCCCAGCACACGTGTGTTCGGGCGCCGCGGCCCACGCAGGAGAGCCTCAAAGCTTCGTGTCTGAGACTGACCCGCAGCGCGAAAGCGAGGGGGCCCCCAGTACGGTACGTCATTGCAGCGCGGCGTAGAGCAACGCCGCTCCATCCACGGAGCCCCGATGACACTTTAGGCCTAGCGACAAATACTGAAGACCGCACGCATGGCGAAAGCCGCCTAGTACGGCACCGACCGAGTTCATTCGTTTTCCAATCGCTAGCGCTAGCTTTCGGGTATACAAGCGACGAGTGCGGCATAGCGCACGCACGGTGGCGGCCGCCAAGTACGGCACCGAACGAGTTCACGGGTTTTCCAGTCGCTAGCTTTTGAGTATACGCACTAACTCTTGCTACATATGCTGGATAACTACCACGTATACAAAATTAAAACAAAATCAGCTTACCTCCTATCTTTAGACGGCTAGCGCAACAGAGGTAGGTGCCGCTCGGCCTGCATACTCGTTGCACGAGACGAGAACGATCCTGACGTCACGTTCACATAGCGGCTGATTCCCAGGGTTGCCGGGGCCTCGAGCGGCTATAATCCGCGACAACTTTTCTTGGCAATGCAGTGGAAGGTACAGGCCCGCGTCCCCTCTCCCATTTTGAGTGTGCGCGGGCTCTCCTCCTCTCCCCGGAAATGGGGGAGGAGGAGAGCCTGCGTACACTCAAAATGGGAGAGGGGACGCGGGCCTGTACCTTCCACTGCATTGCCAAGAAAAGTTGTCGCGGAGTATAGTTTCGGTTTTGTTGGCCGCGCCCCAAACAAAACTTTGAGGCGCCGATATCTTTAAAACAACGCAGAATAACGAGAAAAAAAATTATACCTTGCATTTCAGGGGCGCTGACTGTACTAAAAACAGTCATAATCCCAAAATCGAAAGTATGGACCGGAGTTGCCTTTCAATGCGTTAGCATTAGTACCCACATCACCGGGAAAAGCTAACGGCGTCCGTCTATGCACACAGTATAAAGGGAATCAGAAAGCCTGTCAGAACCCAAAGAAAAGCGGTCACGGAAAAAGGGAGAGGAGAGGCGGAGAAAGAGGATGCCCAAAGAAGGAGATTTCTTGGTGGCACCACCACAGCGCAAGCGGTCAAATCCAAAAGAAAAGAAAACTGATTTTTTGTTTGTTTGTTTTACCCTTCTCCTCTTCCTCCGTGCAATGTGGTGCAACGGGCGCCGCATACTTTCCGCGTTGCCTCGCCGCCACCGCGTTTGGGAGAGGAGAAAAAAACGAAAGAGAAAAAAAGAAATACAAATGCAATTAATGCAAAGCTGCAGGCGAACTGGACAGAATAACGATAATAATCCCTGGACTTACGAGTGGGTCGTCGCCGGTAGCGAAGCCGACTGTCGGACCATCTCCGGGCAGGACGGGAGCAGCAAACTCGAAGGAGCCGGGGTTCCCCGATATGTACACTTTTTAATTCATATTTATAGCATGATGACAAGGTCGGAGAACACATTGAAGGAGCTCGTTGCTCCTTTTTAACGGGTCCGTTTTCTCTACTTTCCCAGGTAGAGAGCCGAAGCAGCTGTGTCCGCAGCCAGTCACGTCACTTGAAAACCACGAGGCTCCGCCTCCGTTGCCCCTCCCCGCAGAGGCATGAACACATGAGGGTCCGAGTCTTGAGGCCATGTCAGGTGCGAATGCCAACGTCGATCCAGTGCAAATCCTCTGGCCAGACGACCTCGCTCCACCCTGAACTTCTCGTGGTCCCGGGAAGCGACGAGACGTTGAGCCGATCGCGGTCCATTGTGTTGTCGAGACGAGGCGAACATTTTGGCGCCCGCATCTGCCAGGAAGTGACAGAACTTTGTACATCTCAGCTTCGGAAATGACCTGGTAAGCTGCCTAAGTGGTCCAGACTAGAGTGCCTTCATGTGCGCACATGAAGGCTCCCTAGTCCAGACAATGCCGAAGACTCTGGGGTCTTCGCTCGATAGAAATGATCCCTTTAGAAGCTGTTGGAATCACCGAGCCCAGCATTGCTGCGTGAGGGAATTCCAGGTGTTGAGATGTCCCCCGTTTTTACGACGATAATTGAATATCGCTGCCTGAAGGAAGTCCAGATGTCGAGATGTCAGCCCTTTTGAAGACAATTTGGCCGTTCATAACAATGGGAACAAGAGGGACAAAGGACAAACACAAATCTCCAAACACAGCTAGGTGACTGGTGCAAGCTGAAAAAATCCGCCTGGTCCTGGTAGGCAACTGTATCCTGGTATCAAACCCAGAGACCTCCATTTCCAATACAAACGCGTTTTGGGGAGAGGCCGCAAGGTCCGCTGGCGCTGATGAGAGGTCGCCTCCTGCGCTACGTTCGCCATTCTGCCGCTTCTCTCTCTTTTCCGGCGACCGGGCGCTCTATTGTTCCGTCGTCAAGAAGCGTGTTGAAAAGTAGTGAAAGCGCACAATAATGACGAAGACGGAGAAGCAAACAGGACGACCGCTGACTATCAAGAAGCGCGCCGCGTAGAGAGGGACAAAGACGAGAGGGAGACGAGGACAGTTTTCTTTTTCTTTTTTATGATGATTGCGCGCGCCTCAAGAAAACAAAAACGAAGACTTCGTCGAGCTTCCCTCCTTTACAAAAGTGCACTTAAAAAGCGGAAAAAAAAAAAAAAAGACCAGCGACGTGTACAGGTGCCCAAGTGGTGCGGCTGGCATGCCGCGTGTAATTTGGGTGACGAAACCCAGTATCCGCCTCGCAGGCCCCTTGGACTTGCGACTAACATCGAGGCGCTCGCCGTCGAATGCGACTCCGAGCAGTTTCGAGTGACACGAGAGAGTTCGGTGCCACCTATTGCGAGGGGTGGGGAGTGCGAGGGTTAAGCAGAGGACAGGCTGACTGTCGTGCTAAGGCATATTCTAGGGTTCAGCGGTAGGCTGTGTGCCACAGACCACCTGTGACATGCATCGAGGTCGTTTTAAAGGGAGGCGACTGCATCCTTGGAGATTCCGGGTTGTATCAGGGAGAGGTTGTCCGCGTATAGTATCGCCTTAGAATTCAGTCCGTCGGTAACGTCATTTATGTACAGCGAGAAGAGTGTAGGGCCAAGGACACTGTCCTGCGGCACACCGGCGGGCACAGTACAGGGTGACGAGAGATTACCGTGGAAGGCCACTCGCTGGGTTCGATCCTTGGCGAAGTTCATCAGCCAGTTGGCCAAGAAACCCTCAATACCCACTTTTTGGAGTTTTTTAGGGAGAAATGCGTGGTCGATGCGACCAAATGCTTTTAAAAATCCAATTGTACTAGTTGGCAGGGGATGCGCTGGTCAAGGTGTGAGCTGAGCATGCTGACTGCCACTGCCAAGGCAGCCTTGCAGCTCCGTCCCCTTCGGAATCAGTGTTGTGCCTGATTAAGTGGTCCGATCTGTTCCAGGTGGTTCAGGATTTTGTTGACAAAAATAATCCACGGAGAAGGGGAACAAGAGGGACTTGTTCAGGGATTATTTTTGTCATTATGGTCCAGCTCGCTTGCACCTTTGCATTTAATTGCATTATAATCAGGTTTTTGTTGTTTACTATTCTTTCCAGTGTGCGGCTCACAACTGAAGTGAAGGCGATGGGGCGAAAGGAATCAATGCTATCGGTGTCAAGTCCATTTCTCTTGTGGATGGGCGTTATGATGGATCTCTTCCATTCCAGAGGTGTGCACAGTCGAGTATGCGTTGAAACATGTGGATCAGGATGGGCTTGATCAGAGGGGCGGAGAGCTGGAGGAAAGCAGCATGCACTCGGTCAGGTCCAGGGTTCTGTGCTGGGCGGAGGGAGGACAGTGATTCTTCTATAGGGATGACAGAGAGGCTCCAGACGGAGGGGACGACCCGGGATTAGCTGGGTAGGGAGGTGAGTCTGGGGGAGGTATGAGAGGTACCTGGGGTAGAGGTAAGGCGAGAGTCATGGGGGGAGACTAAATTGAGGAGAAGTGTTCACTGAACAGAGCGGCACCTCTGTAGTAAATTCAAACGCGATAATTAAAGAACCCGATTTATGCAGAACGCCCAGAGTGGGATCGAAGAGTTAGTTTACGCACCGTCAGATTAAGAAGTCCCATTTAGTCCTTTCAATACTTCTATTCTCGGGGACCACTTTCTGATGCAGTTCAGCAACAACGGAAACATGTTTTGGTGCATCAGTGATGTGTCGATATGCAAAATGGGTCGTGCAAACAAACAAAAAAAGCTTTCCCCTCCTTAACTCGCAATTAGAACAAGCGCGGCCACGTGATCTGACGCCTAACTAGTGTTCATCGTAGTCATCTGCTGGGTTTGGGAAAGCATAGGGCATGAGATGAGCTTTCGATATCGTTAAAGTTGGGCTATTATCATTTTTAATTTAACACGAGCCGTTACCCGAACGTTTGGCGATGCTGATGATCCCGACCATTCATCATCAAAATCGCGTACGTCACAGTGTCACGTAACTCTTGGTGCGAAGTCGTGATGTTGTGTTGCGTCACGGTTTCAGCAATGTTTATAATAATCTAGTGATGTTCTCAATTTAAATCGACTTGACGCAGTGAATCACGCGACGTCACGTGACGTGACATTACTTGACAGCATGTCTTGACACCATGACATCACGTGACCACGTGACAGACGATTGATCATGGTGCCAGTACAAAAGCCGCCAAGAAAACCCACAATTTCTCATTTGGTCAATATATAAAAATGCAGCTGCCATTTTTTTTTTTACTCCCAAATATTATTTTTGGGATACTAACAAAAAAGAAGAAAAATAAAATATCATGGACCGTTTTGAACCGGTTCCCAGTATATTTTTTTCCGGTTCAGTTCAAAAATGGCGGCGAAGACTTCGGTTCGGTTCAGTTCCGGTTTGGCTAAAAATAACGGTTCTGCTCCGGTTTTCAGTTCGGTTCGGTTCCAGTTCGACACCCTGGAAGCAAGTCCTTAATTTAGGCACGTGCTGCTAATAATGTGCCGTACAGAGAACAAACAGCATGCATTTACGTGCGCGTTGTTTTGTTTCTGTGCTGTTTTGGCACGTGCTCTTCTATCGCTCTACTGTTTTGACGGCGTGCTGTTTTGTCTTGTGCTTTTTTGACGCGTGCTGTTTTGACGCGGTGCGGTTTTGGCTGTGCTGTTTTGTCGCTGCATGTGTTGTTTTGACCGTGCTATTTCGTTGCGTGCTGCTTTGTCGTGAGCTGTTCTGTCGTGGTGCCGTTCGGTTACTGTCCTCCACCCACTATTTGTTGCTAGTCGACCTCCGTTCGCGTCTGTCGCCGGGGACCAAAAGAAGCATGCCTCAAAAACGAAAGAAATGCTATCGCATAAAACTTGCGACTGTGGGGTCAAAACGTCAAAGTAACCAAGTTTGTGATTTTTTTTATACGGGCAAAGTAATTTACACGTTTGTATAAACATTTATTTCCATAGCCGCCATAAATTACTATATGTATAAAATATTCATCTTTCTGCTTCTTGTATTTCGTAATTGTTTCTCTTTCGAAATATTAATTTTTTTTTTTTTTTTTGTAAAAATGTTTCTTATTTTGTTTCGTTCAGAAATTGAGGAGTAACATATAAAAAAATGAACAGAAACAAACAAAAAATTACGACCAGACTAAGGTGCATGATTTTACTGGAACAAACCTCATTTAACGGGCCCTTGGACTGTTTTGCCATAACAGCACACGTATAGACCGACACACTGTTTACAAACAAGCCAGCGTTTTCCCACACAAGGTGTGGGTACTGCGCGAGCACAGATACCAGATTCGCGTGAGGTGAAGCTTCTGCGCATGCGCCGTGGCGACAACAACGCCACCGCAGAGGCGATACGTCAGCGCCGCGTGTTGGTCTATAGCAGAACGACGCTTAGGCAGCTCCCTTTCACTGGATCATGTCCACCTTGTATATCACTATACTTCGTTTCATCTTCGGTCCGAGCGCGGCCGATGTTATGAGCCGAAGGGCCAATCAAACAGCGAAAGAGGTACAACGTCATGGCGTGCTCTCTGAAGTTATTAGGAACAGCCGATATTCGCCGTCTCTCTGTGCGCGCTCCTCCGCCGGCTATCAAGCGCAGAGAGCACGCCATGACGCTGCGCTTCTTGCGCTGTTTGATTGGCCCTTCGGCTCACAACATCGGCCGCGCTCGGACCGAAGATGAAACGAAGTATTGCACTAATGTGTATAATATCAGTAGTAGCAGTTATCGTCCCTAAAGGTTAGCCTATTTACACCTTTGCAAAACTCGTTTTCTGCGCGCCGTGCTGCCATCTTTGTCTGCTGGGCTATGAAACGCCTTCTGAGCATGCGCTGTTGCTCTACTTTGCTGTGTATCAGACGCTGCGCACGCGTCCACAGCTCAGTGAATCAGCAATTTTCACCCGGGTGATAAGCGATGGACCTTCTATACATATACTTTGTTTAAGTCCAGACGCTACTAGCTAATGGGACCGATCAATCAACGTAAAAAGCGCAAGTCACTGGGCCTTCTCTGTTTATGATTGGTTCAGCGATGATAGAACACGCACGGAAACATGACGAGCACGATACACGATGATGGTGCGCTTACGAAGCTGTTTGATTGGTCCCATATGAGCTCGTAGCGTCGACTGCGTCTAGGCTTAAGATGAAACGAAGTATAGCACTATATGTTACTTGCATGTGTAGAATAATCTTTTTATAGGTACTGCTTTCATTCGTTGTGCCAGCCGTTTTATCCGAGATAAGCAATTATCTTTGCATTGCTTACATGAAATGATGCCCTGAATATGTATTATCTGCTGTTTTTCGGCTATAGTGCTAATCGTGAACAAGTCAGCGCCTACGTTACACTTGTGGCGGCACCGCTAATTGGCTGTCCGCAATCGTACTCCGCGCTCCGCTGACATCTCTTCCAGACCGCGTTAAGTTGCATGCTGAGCAAAGCAGCCTAAGCGGCCTAAGCGCTTGCCCGACTGGTTGGGAGCCGCCCGTGCGACATGATCCTTGTGTTAGTTTTTGCCACCGTATCGTCGGCCTGTCATATGCCAGAAGTCCCAAGGAACGGCAGGGTTGTGCAGTCAAAGTTCAACGCGTCGAGCCACCCCATTGGCGCCGTCGTCAACTACACCTGCAACGAGGGCTTCTTACTTCTAGGCCTCGCCAGCCGAACGTGCCACATCAATGGCTGGGAACCTCGAGGCTTGCCACCCTGCGTGGCGAACGTGGCGACGGGCAAGTTCGCTCTCCAGTCCACGTCAGAGTCCAACGGCGGTGCTCATCTCGCCGTGGACGGCGACAGCGCGACCTGTAGCTCCACGCTACCTCAAGAATCGCCGTGGTTCGTGGTGGACCTGGAAGACGTGCACCCTATCTTCGTGGTACGGCTCGATTTTCCCACCAGCATGACATTGCCACCGAACATCATACTAACTGTGCGCGTTGGTAACCTGTCGGCGGGTAACCTGTCGGCAGGCTTCCAGAGCAGTTCCGTCTGTAATGAATTCCACGACACGCCCCTGCGCGACCGCTCGTTGTACCTGCCTTGTTCAACGGCCTTGACAGGCCGGCAGATAAGCCTGCATCTACTCGGAAATAGGTCCCTGGCCTTGTGCGAGTTGGGAGTGTATTCTGACCGTGCAACTCTCGTAGCGCTTCGAGACGACCCTACTCGCTTTGGGCACAGTCCCAAAAAGAAGGCATTCTATGAATTGATTGGCATGAAGGGGTTCATCGGCGTTTGTGTTGGGTTAGCCGTTCTGATTGCTTCCATTTGCTTGTGCTGCTGCTGGACACGGGGCAGGAGGTGGTGTTACAGAGAATCATCTAACTCTGTGCTTCTGAAAGAGTTCACCCGGGAGCCAACGTATGACTGTTCGTTCGAGGGGCGCTCGTTAGATGAAGTATCTCAAGACAGCGCAGCAGGTCGATATAGTGATTTTCGCCTCACCAAGCTTCAAAGAGCTCCCATGGCGGGAACTGAGGCAGGCAAATAGCCCATTGACTTTTCACATCGAGTACCAGGCTCCTCCTCATGATTGCGACATTGTCTTGCCGCGTGCAAGCGTCCATTACTTTCCTTATTGCATTCCGACAAGCATTGGAGTGTGCAACATTTTAGTCCCAATAAACGCTTCTTCTCCTTTAGGCGTGTTTCATGACTGTTCGACGCGGCATTACAGGACCAAACCGGCATTGCATACCGGCCAACGTTTGCTCTGGAGCCCTACATTAAAGGGATACTTCAACGAAATTGGAAATATACCAGTCTTGTTCAAAAATAGGTTGAATATGATCCATGCACAATATCCGTAAATGACAATCACACGTTTGTATTTTGAGCCTAATGCTGTATTTTTCATTATAAACGGCCCACTCTTCCAAGTGCTCGGAGAACAGCCAGCGGAGAGCACGTGAAATCCAACGCAATCGTGACGTAGTTCGTCTCGGGGCGAGCAAAGCTACGGCGAGGCTGACGTCGAGAGGATGGCCTAGTCGTTCTATAAAGTCACTCGATTAGGAGGCCAGTGACTTTCAAGGAATACTACAACGAAATTTCGCAGCTTATTTTTTGCTTTGTGTTCAAATAAGCAGTATCACATCGGACACACCAATATCTTGTTAAAAAAAAGTCACAAAAAGGAATTTTATAACGAATTAAACGATTAACAAGGAGCACCTGGTGGATGTCGCTAACGGCTCGTTTGTAATGCCCGTCTAGGAACCTTGAGAGGTAGTGACGGTAACTGTCTCGCCTCTGACCACGACGAGAGAAGAGGGGAAGGAGGAACTTCCCTCTTCTCGAGAATCCCTTTTGTGTGTCCCAGAAGTAGCTATTGTCCCCCTACAAGATTATAGAAGATTAACCCGTCACTCAAAATTTGCACAACAGCAGCCGCTTCGGTGGCTGGAACGACTAGGCCATCCTCTCGACGTCAGCCTCGCCGTAGCTTTGCTCGTCCCGAGACGAACTACGTCACGATTGCGTTGGATGTCACGTGCTCTCCGCTGGCTGTTTTCCGAGCGCTAGCCAGAGTGGACTGTTTATAACGAAAATTACAGCCACAGGCTCAAAATACAAACACAAATTTCATTTACGGATATTCTGGATCATATTCAACCTATTTTTGAACACGAAGGGTATATTTTAATTTTCGTCAAAGTATCTTTTTAAAGGTGACTGCAATTGTTTTTTCACACGCCAGCATTTTTTTTTTTTTTTTGCATTAGGTTTTGCTATTTTCACTGCCATCTGCGATTTCCAGATACTGAAGTCCTCAAAAAGTAGCACGTCATAGAGCATGCGGTTTTCATAAAAAAAAAAAAAAAAAAAAAAATAGCAGTTTTTTTTTTTTTTTGGTTTTCTGAGTAGACGTCCCAGAATTGGGCATCCCAACATAAGACAGACATGGTCGACCATTGCTGGTTGCTTGCACAACGAACCATTGGTCGTACACAAATCTAAATCTCCTTATAATTCGGCAGCGCCTTTACAAGAAGGGTGGAACTGTGCAGTGTAAAAAAACAGACTGCGCCGAAGGTAACACGGTAATTCGCTTTACTCGTGACTGCGCCGAAGGTAACACGGTAATTCGCTTTACTCGTGATTGCCCTTACTGCTTCACTCGTGACTGGTTTTGGCCCTGACACACAGAAAATAAAGTGCGGCATAAAAGAGCGGGAAACACGGTTTTCAGTAAGTTCACAAACGGCATGTCTTTTTTTTTTTTTTTTGCACATTGAGCGCAAGCCAGTAAGTTCACTGTGTCTACAACTACCCCGAGAAACCCAGACACTTTGGTGGGTACTGTCCAGTGTTGTGTAAGTTACTTTCGAAAAAATAATTCGTTGCAATTAGTTACTTTCAGAGTTCGTTACTGCATCAAAAAAGTAACTCGTCACGGTTGTTTTCAAAAACGTGCTTTTCAGTTAGTTTTTCATAGCACAAAAAATAGGGTAAAAGCTAGAAAACGGCCCCCTCTCCAAGTTTGCGCATTGCAGGCTCGTTGACGGTTGCGTTGGGTTCGTAGCATCCCGGACATATTGCCGCGCGCGCAGCTGGCCAAGTAGGCCGCGCGCGCGTGGCCTAACGGTTATCGCGCTTGCCTCTCACGCAGAAGGCCAGGGTTCGATTCCTGGCAGCGGCTACACATTTTTGTTGAGAGTGTAATTTGATGTTCTGGTGAATTCGAGAACCGTCTTGTTGATTCGCGGTTAGAATGTTCTACGCGCCGAACCTTCTACGCCGAACGATCCAGAAACCCACGGGGTACATAAGGGATCCCGCCAGGCGAGCGCAGTCAGTCTCGCCCCAGCGTTCGACTCTGCTGCCACGCCGACTTCGACGCCCGTGACGCTCTATTATTATCTTTTGTACTCTTTTATTTTTGGCTCAAGTTCGCCACATTAAACGTTTATTTCTTCTTGTTTATTTCCTGTTTTCTTTTGGTCACCACCCGTGACATTTTGGTGGAGGTGCGGGGTACCGCATGCCCGTGCAGCGTTCTCCTCCAAGGGACCGCAGTGCAAGTCCGATTCCCGGCTCGGTGAGAAGACCACTCACCGCAGAACCTGAAATTCGGACCAGCCGCCGCACCAAGGGAGAGGATCCTGAGTACGGTTTGCTCCTGGACAAGCCCAAGCCGCAGAAGACGACGATGGCCAACCAGTCGCAAGCCCCCGCCGCTTCTCCCGTCGTCTACATGCCCGTCGCACCGCGGACGGCTGCCCCCTTCCACGGTGAACTCTACGAAGACGTCGAAGACTGGATTGACCAGTATGAACGCGTTGCCCGCCACAATGGCTGGACCGACGAGCAACGCCTGCACAACGTTTACTTCTCGCTTGAGGGAACCGCCAAGCACTGGTACGAGAACCATGAGTCCTCATTGACGTCGTGGGGCATCTTCAAGACCGACCTGAAGGCTACGTTCGTCAACCACCACCGCCGAGAGAGAGCCGAGGACCTACTGCGAACCAGGACCCAGGGCCCCAATGAAAGCGTCACGAGCTTTGTGGAAGACGTGCTCCGCCTGAGCTCCCGCGCCGATCCTCAGGCCACCGAGGGAAAGAAGCTGCGCATTTTGATGCGGGGCGTGAAGGACGACATCTTCGGAGGCCTCGTCCGCAACCCGCCGGCAACCGTCGACGCCTTCGTCAGCGAGGCGACAAACATCGAGCGCGCCCTCCAAGCGCGCGCTTCCCACTACCAGCGGCAGCCAAGCGTCACTGCAACCGCGCTGCTTAGCGGTGAAAACGTGCCTGGTACGGACATCCGCGAAATTATCCGGGAGGTTGTCCGGGAGGAACTGCGAAGGTTGCTGCCAACCACCAGCCGTCCGCCAACCATTTCCATCGCCGAGGCTGTCCGAGAAGAAGTGCATCGCGCGCTCCAACCAGAGGTTCCCGTCACCAGGGTGGCACCGGAGGAACCGACGTTGAGCTACGCCGCCATGGCCCGACGACCGCCGCAAGCTTCCCGCCAAGCCACGGCGCCACCCCGAAGAGACGCCCCAACGCCGCAGTACCCCCGACGGCCGGAAGATCAGGCGCACGTTCCCCCAGAGCGACCTGCGCCGAGGAAGACAGACGTCTGGAGGACGGCCGACCGACGCCCGCTGTGTTACCACTGCGGGGAAGCTGACCATGTGTACCGCCGATGCCCATACCGACGACTCGGGCTGCGCGGATTCCATCCAAGCGACCCGCGCCCCCGGTATGGTGAACGCCCTCGGGAGATCGACGAGTACCTGCGACGACCCCAGTCCCCCGAGCCTGCGTCACGCCGAGAGTTCCGGTCGCCGTCACCACGACGTCCAGCTTCGCCGATGCACCGACCCCGACGTGAAAGCCTGTCACCCCTCGCTCCACGCCGGGGAAACTAGGCGCGGCAACCCCTGGAGGTGGAGTTGCCGAAGACGACCGACGCCAAGATCCTCCACGAACGTCGGAGGGCCCCCACTCGAACGCTACCGGAGACCGAAACGACGCTCCTGAAACGGTGTCCAACAACCTAAACATCATCATCGACGGCCACGACGCATCGGCACTCGTGGACACCGGAGCAGACTACTCAGTCTTGAGTGGGAGGCTCTCCCGCCGCCTTCGAAAAGTCACGACGCCGTGGGATGGACCTCAAATACGAACCGCCGGTGGGCACCTCATCACACCAGTCGGGCGATGCACCGCTCGCGTCGAGATCCACGGTGAGACGTGCCCTGTAAAGTTCGTCGTTCTGCAAGACTGTTCGAGGGACGTTATCCTCGGAATGGACTTCCTCTGCGAGTATGGCGCCGTCATCGACCTCGGAGCAAACCGGTTGACGCTGCGAAAGCCTGTTTCACCACCGGAGGAACCCAAAGCGACGTCATCTGCGGTCCGAGTCCTCGCCAGCCACGTGAACTTACCGCCGCGGTCGAGTGTTTTCGTACCCGTCGGGATCACCGAAGATTTCTGCGGCGAAGTTCTGCTCGAAGGAAGCCTCCAGTTGCTTCTGGGAAGAGGAATAGGCGTCGCAAGAGGAGTTGCTGAACTTCAGGATGGCCGCACTGTGGTCCTCGTCACGAACTTCCGAAATGAAGCGCAACACCTCACAAAAGGTGCAGCCGTGGGCCAGGTCGAGGAACTCCAAAACTCCGCCGCTGTCGCCGCCATTACTGACGAATTCTCGCCACCTCAGCAAGACAGTGCGTCGCCAGCGCAGCTCGACATTGACCCTAAACTCCCGGGCCCGAAACGACGACAGTCGATTAACCTTCTCGCCGAATACCGCGACTGCTTTGCCACGTCGTCGAAGGTGCGCCAAACCACCGTTGCGAAGCACCGCATCGTTACCGAGGACGACGCGCGCCCGGTGCATCGATCGCCATACAGAGTCTCCGTTAAAGAAAGGCAGGCGATCCAGGAGCAAGTTCAAGAAATGCTAAACGACGACATAATTCAACCTTCAAGCAGTCCTTGGGCCTCTCCAGTCGTACTGGTTAAGAAGAAAGACGGGACGCTTAGGTTCTGTGTAGACTACCGGCAGCTGAACAGGGTGACGAAGAAAGACGTCTACCCACTCCCCCGCATCGACGACACTCTAGACCGGCTGCGCCACTCTCGATATTTCTCATCGATGGACCTGAAGAGCGGCTACTGGCAGATCG